TCCGGGGGTTGCACCCCCAGCCCACCAACCTTGTATTATTGTAATGTCTGATTATTGCTGTCCTACAAATGTCGTCTGGAACACCCTATTTCTCAAAAATTTTCCGAAGGCCAGGGCTGCGCCCCCCTAGCCCCCCAATTTTGTATTATTGTAATGTCTGATTATTACTGTCCTACAAATTTCTTTAATGCCAAATGTCGTCTAAAACACATAATTTCTGAAAAATTTTCTGGGGGCTGCGCCTTCCCCCCTCCCTAGCCAACCAAAGGAGCTTCGCCCCGGCTACGTGTCGTGTCGGGCTACGTGCCCAGAATCGAAAAAACTTAATCTTTAATGAATAACGGAACCTTCATTATGAAGTTACGAGATGATAATATAATTGGGAGGCAAAGTGGGTATCGGGCTTGGGGCTCATAATGCGCAAAATTTGGCCGCTGTCGAGTGGGTCTGCCTAAAATTCACAGATCTAGCTATGGGTCTGAGACATTTGTTAAAAAAAAACCTTAGTCTGCAGTCAACCGAGAAAATCACCTTCTCCAGCAAGTGGATATGTACCCTATAAAGAAAGTGAATTTGAAGTCCACCATTCCAGAGTAAAGAGTTCAGCCAAGTCAACTGTAATGCCTCCTTCACCTGAACTGACCCCAAGTGACCTGCCAACTGATACCATCTACATCAGTAGCAGTATGTTCAGGGACCTCAACGGAACCCTATTAAGTTCGAGGAAACAGAAAGGTAAGGTTTTCTTCTACCCTGGAGCAAACTCTTCTCAAATGTTAGATAGGCTCTTACAAGATGAGGAGTTTAAACAACTAGATAAAAAGGGTGTTAAGCGTGTTTTCATACTAACAGGCACAAACTACGTAGATTCTGTCTGTAACAATTCTATTTCTATAAAAAATGCAACAGAAGGAATTGATCGAATACTAAGTATACTTTGGGGAATGTTTATTGGAGCAAGAATTTCAGTTATAAATATTTTACCTAGGAACAGTTATAACAGCTATAACAAAAATGAAGTTATCAACGAATTAAATAGGTTTATTTTTAACACCTGCTCTAGCCATGGGTTAAATTATATAGATTTGGAACGTACCAATAGACTATTTACCAGCCGAGTTACTGGAGTAAGGAAACAGGTATTTTTCAAAAAGGGAATAGATAATGTTCACCTTAATATCAAGGGAATCGCCAGGTTGGCGAAACATTTAAAATATTTATCCCACAATGAGCAAACTTAGTCTCTCCATTCAGATCGTAGAAAGTTCTGTAGTTAAATGAGTATTTGATACTTTTATCAAGGAATCACATTTTAAATTATGAGTCACAAACAAATCAGCATGAAATAAAACTAAATTTCATGAATTTCATTTAAATTGCTTGAAGAAGAAACGTATAGATTTGTCCTCCTTTTAACTTTATTATTACCACATTCGTACCTCAATAAACGATAATCTCTCTCTTGGTCTATGTAATATACAGGGTGGCCTGACTAATCTGGCAAAAACTCTCGAACTACAGGAGCTAATATTTCGCGAAAAGCTTGACATAATTGGAATTAATGAGACAAACCTTAAATCTGATATAGACACTAGTACACTTAACTTCCCCTTAAACTTTGATTTTATAAGGTGTGATAGACCTAACGATAGAGGAAGAGGAGGGTGTGGTATATTGATCAACCAAAATGTTAACCACAAATTACTCACTTTAGATATAACCTACTCTGATATTTCTAAAATCGAAGCTATCTGGATACAACTCAAGGATGCCAATCTTTACATTTGCTGCTTCTACAGATCACAAAACTTTTGTCACCTAGATACTTTCCTTGATTATATGACTGAATGTATGATGAAACTTCAAGGTAAGAAAGTAATATGGATTGGCGATGTTAATGTTAACCAAAACTCTTTATCTGATCTAGATTATAAAAAGTTAGATATAACAATGAAGCTCTTTGGAATGATACAGACTGTTACAGGAATTACTAGAGTTGCAAACTTAGATGGTAGAATAACGCAGAGCACAATAGATGTTGTCATGACTAACTGTTACTCTAATTTCATAGAGTGTAAAGTACTTGATGATAGAATAGGAGATCACCAAGCGCTCAAATGTGTTCTCGACTTTAAAGTAAATAAAGCTAGTAAATTCCAGAAGGTCCTTATCAGAGACCACTCCTTAAACAATCTAAAAGCCTTAAGCTATTTTCTGGGATCCTGCAGTAACTACAGTAATATTCTAAGCTGTACTAATGTAGACCATGCCCTAGATGGACTTAATCATCACATCCAGGAATCGTATGATAATTACTGTCCACCTAAACAGATTAAGTGTAATAGTAACTTTCTTTGTAATCCCTCTAAAGTACTGTTGGCAGAAATACGGAAGAAGAAGATGCTTTTCAGAAAGTATAAAAAGTGTTTAGGACAATTTAACAAATTCAAGTGTAAGTGTATTAATGGAATATGTAAATGCAGAAAAAGTGAACTACATAAGAAATGCTCTACTTCGTGGGATAACTATCGTCCCCAAAGAAACTATGTGACAAAATTATCCAAAGAAAACAGACGTAAAAATATTGTTCAGGACCTTACTGTGAAAAGTGCAAAAAACGATTTGAAAGGTATTTGGAAAACTATCAAACATGCTTCAAACTTACCTGGAAAAATAAGTAGCTCTTCCCCAAGCAACTTAAATGTTAATGGAGTTAACCTGCATTTTGCCACAGTTGGTACAATAATACAAGAATCAATTAAGGAAAAGGATTCAGACGACTTCCTAGAATATATGCCGCCTCCAACAGACTGTAAACTCTCTGTATTCGAAGAGGTGACTGTTGAACAAGTAAAAGAATATATACTCAGTATACCATCAGATAAATCGATTAACGATATCATGCCCATTAAAGTATATAAGTATATTATTCCCCAAATCATCGATCCAGTAGCTCATATTATAAACCTTAGTATGAAAAGTGGAACAATGCCGTTGGCATGTAAAATTGCATCAGTCACTCCAATTCTTAAAACTGGTGACCCTAATGATCCAAATAACTACCGGCAAATATCCATACTCCCCCTACTTGGAAAATGCATAGAATATTTTGTTAACCAACAGCTTACAGAGTATGTTGAAACAAATAAACTGCTTACCAACCATCAGTATGGATTTAGAAAAGATCATTCCACCACTTTTCTAATGCTTAATCTATTTGATAAAATATTTACGTCTAAGGAATCACAGAAGAAACCTGCAATTGTATTCTTAGATATTAAAAAGGCCTTTGACACAGTAAGCCATAATATTTTATTAAAAAAACTTAAGTATTATGGAGTTGATGGCTTTGTCATAAAGTGGTTCAAAAGCTACCTTGGGGACAGAAAGCAGCACACCAAAATACGTGGTAATGTAAGCACATCACTCCCTGTTAAAACAGGTGTGCCACAGGGTAGCATATTAGGACCAATTCTATTTAGTTTATTCATAAATGATCTCAGTAGAAATTGCACACAATCTACTGTTTACTTATTTGCAGATGACAGTGCACTATATTTTGATAACATTTCCCGAGGCATATATGAGAATGTAATTAAGGATATGAAAATTGTGTATGAATGGCTTAGAATCAACAAGCTGAGACTAAATGCTGCAAAATCTTCATTCATTGTATTTGATAGATCACCTAATCTGGACACGTTGTCAATCCCTCTGGATTTGGAAAAAGAATGCCTATTTATAGAAGAAACTAAATCTCAAAAATATTTAGGTCTCATGATAGACAATTTATTGAACTTTCAAGACCATATTGATTATGTGAAATCAAAAATTGCTAAAAGAATAGGGGCATTATACAGGTCGAAAAATCTTCTTCCACTGAAATATAGAAAAATGTTTGTAAATGCTCTTATGCTCCCCCAATTTGACTACCTGGATATAATATGGTGTAGGGCTGCCAAAACCAAACTTAATTCTCTTGATATATTATACAAGAAAGTAGCAAAAATTGCTCTAGATGTTCATTGGCAGCGCAGGAACCATCAGTAAATGTATATCGAAACATGAAGTGGTTACCCTTACACTTAAGAAGACAACTCCATCTATCAACGTATATGTATAAAATTCTTAATGAGGCTGCACCATCATCATTCACAGATAAATTTTCTTATGTATCCGGAGGATCACGTGATGCTGAGAGGTGCAACCTTTATATTCACAAATCCAGAACACACAAAACCTTTACATATTTAGGTGCAAAATGTTGGAATACAATTCCAGAGAACATAAGGACTATAGAATGTAGTGTAAAATTCTCACAATGTATGAAATCTAAATTTATGTCAGATGTAATTCAAGGAGTCTCATCCTATGAAATAAACAATAGTTTCGACTATTTCTACACTCTAGCTATGTGACAACTGAAACAAATTTTATGGTTCTGGAGTTTTTGTCTGGTGGAAAGGCCCCCTGCGTTATATGACCTATTTCTAGAAGTATAGAACTCTAAACATCTCCTTTATTCGTTCCCATTTGTTATCATTGCCAATCTATTATTGTTCTATACTTCTTTGTGTATAACTGTAAATAACATTACTAACGTAATTCCAAAGTGGGCATCTATGATTCTATGTAATCTTAATTGTTACCTTCATGCCCACAGTTCACTGTTAAATCATATCTTATTTTATCACTCATTAATTTATTACTCATTATGTTTTACAAACTATATCCTTATGTCCCTAGAAGGGTGTTCTGCTAACAGTTTTTGACTGACTTGAATGTCCTGCACAGCAGATTGAAGCTTCTTAAATTATTTTTTATTCTTATTGTATTGCTGTGTAAATTTGATTCTAATTCTAATTCTAATTCTAATTAAGTAACAGCTAATGTCTCAGTAACACGGCGTATATATTCTCTTTCAACTGTCATCTCGTGCACTTACAGTGATCATATCTTATAAATTTACCAACTTTAGAATTTTACTCTTTAATTTTCAGGCTACGATGGTTACCAGCAAAATCAAGCTCCTGCAGTAAGTTTTAAATTTGATTTTCTTCATTCATTAGCAATGCTGACTATCCGAAGGTATCTTATTAAAGGCCTTAAATTTAAAACTTGCAACTGCTTTCAGCTATTTCTTAAAGAACGATATTGTTTGAAATCTTATGTATCTTTAAACAATAATAATTTTACGTGACAGGCCACGCCCTTTTTACAATCATATTCTTTTATCTCATCAGTGGGCATTGACTGACTATATAGTCCCTTTTAAAAAAGAATTGCAGCAAGAAGGCGACAATGTTAACCTATATACCCTCAGGAGCAAGAAGGCGACAAATCAATGATAACCTATATACCCTCAGGAGCAGACAGATGATAAGCCCCTCAGTGCCTCTGACATTACAGCAATAGCGGAGAGTACAGTAAACCAATTGCTGATGAGAGACGAACGCAGATCCGAGGAGAGACACAGTCGATCAAGGAGACGCAGCAGGTCAAGGAGTAGGGGACGGTCCCGCGACAGAAGCAGGGGCAGAGACAGGACTCGCAGCCGAGAGAGACGAAAGAGTCGAGATAAGTCAGAGAGCAAGCCAAATGCTATTAGCAGACTTGAGAAACTGAAGGATCCGAGGATTGTTACATTGAAAGGGCTCAAGTCTTTCCATAAAGAGAGCGATGTGGGTTTTTTTACTATTATCTCTTTTCTAGTCACAATTTGGCAACATCTTTCTTGGTCCAACATTTACTTCAGTGACTTATTAAACTTAATGTGCTGGGCTTTTTCTTCAAATATGATTTGAGCCAACTAAGAGGTTGAGAACAACTTGCATATTCATGCTGTCAAGAAGAGAATGCAAACCATAACTTATAATATGTATACGAAGATGTTAAGCAGCTCTGTCAAATGAAGGTGGAAGAAGGAAGTTAAACAGAGTTACAGATAAAATTAACTCGACAGTTAGCAGACTCGCAAGAGTATGGAAACAGGAATGAAACGTTTTATTACTTGGAGTTGCGCTAAATTGTGTCCCGATTATTCCTGGAAAGCGGAAACTTTGAAGGGAAAGAAACTCTTTAGATGTCAAAATATCCTCTGAAAAAAGACGGAAGAAGCAAAGAATATTTTAAACGAGGCGGTACACTTAATAGTATGATCAATCTGACCAAAACTTAATTGAAACAAGAGGCGCACTGTGCAATAAATACAAAATAATATAACTCGTGGTATCATACCAACAATTATAGATTCGAAGAAAACTGGTGGACGAACGAATGAGATTTAGGGACATCAGAGTCATCTTCAACAAAGGTTTGTCACCTCAAGAAACATATTTTACATAGTCTTTTAAGTTTAAAAAGGGCTTTTCGTTTAGGTAGGATTGGGTGCATACTACATGTGGATTATAAAAATGACCTGGCTAGCAAAGCAACGGCGATATTCTTTGTGCGTTTGGAGATAGCCTATGGTAATTATAAAAGCATTCTATCAAATGATAGCCCGGATTTAATGAACCTCGGATCGTAGGAGCTGAGCTTGTGTGAGTGCAGGAAGTCAGGACAAAGACACAATGGCGAGAAAATACTCAAAATGTCTCCTTCTTTGATATTTTAAAATTTCAGCGACTCAGTCAGGAACAGCTTTTGTTGAGTTCCAGTCGGATAGCGAGGCTGCAAGATGGGTCCGACATAACAGGGTAGGTTGCAAATAGCATGACCTATTACAATTTGTGATCAAAAAGTGTTTTTTATTTTTTCTTCTTTCTCAAGCGAGCCTTGAAGGATCGGGATTGACTGCAGATGTTGATGACGAGAAGAAGTTGGATCTGTCTGAAGATGAAAGTGTCTAAAGAAGAACGCTCAAATCCGAAAAAGTGCTTAATATTCCACAGCGGTGTCCAGTTTCAGACGAGTAATCTCAACGGCAGAATAACATTTTGTCGGTCGAACGTCACTCATCCATTTGTCACGATCGTCTTAGTTTGTTGACCACCCTGTCTCATTGTTGAAAACCTCAGGGTATGCTAAAGGTCGCCGGAGAACACTTAACTATGGATCTCAACAAACCCCTTGCTGCCCCCAAAAAGGATTGGATCTGCGCACCGGTACGTATCTTAAGATCCAAAATCCAGCGCATAGATCAAGGCGACATGGTCTAAAAAATCAAGTAGAAAGCTAAAGCAATTTTCTCGCTCCCCCTAGTACCTAGTGGCTAGTCAATCCTCTCTAAACGTATCGATGATGAACCATGAAACAAACAATAAAACAACTAGCAACCCTATTGCTAGTTTTTGCTTTGCATGGCCATAAAAACGACCCTGATTTTAGCGCTTTAATATGCGCGGCTCAGAATATGATCGAACGTAACGAATTCGAACGACCTGATAATATATTATTGCTGCATGCGTGAATTTCAGCAGAGTAGCTTACAATCACGGCCACCCTTGTACGCCAAATATTTCCCATTATCATCAATTTGAATCATGAAGGTATCCAAAAATGGGGGTTTTAATTATAAACTATTAAAACGCTCCGTTCGTAACTAAAGCATTTACTTCCATTCACAAAATTCATAATGGAGGAGTTTAAAAGTACTCGAAAATATTAACTGAAGTCGTTAAAGTGACCTGAACAGTAGTCACCTGTGAGTTATACAGCAAGAATCAAACAAAATTATTGTAAGTGACAAAGGCGGAATTGCTCAGACATCCAATCAAATGCACAGTTTAGTAAGTTTGCCCGAAGCAGAGGTTAAACGAAAGGAATGTGAAGGGGCCTACCAACATACTAGTGAAATACAAGAGATGAAACAAAACACTAAGAGTTTTAATATTTGACAGTGTGGAGAAAAGAACCACTACGCCCGCGACTCGTGTTATTCGTGTCAGTCTGAGAAAGAAGAAGGTACGAAGATTTAAGATAAGATACTCTGCAAGAACGAGGTAAACTTTATCTTTATTACAGACTTGGTGACCGGGTAAGTGACGTGCGTTTCATCTCATATTTTTGTCACTTATCTGACAAGATCACCTTATTTGCAGCTCCTGAGAAGCCAAGATTACGGTCACAGAGCCCTGGAGATGGTAAAGACAAGGATGCTATCCCCTCTAACGGTTTGCGAGCTTAAAAGTGTCTTAAATTTTATCCCCTCTAACGGTTTGCGAGCTTAAAAGTGTCTTAAATTTTATCCCCTCTAACGGTTTGCGAGCTTAAAAGTGTCTTGAATTTTATCCCCTCTTACGGTTTGCGAGCTTAAAAGTGTCTTAAATTTTGTTTCATCGTTATGATTGCACGCCGCTTGATATAGCCATTTTAAACTCTCAACAAATATGATTATCCCCAATTTCAGTTCTGATGTTCAGAGGACTAGACTACCGCACAACAGAGGAGCAAGTACAGCGCCGACTGCGGGATCTCACTAAAGTTCCCATAAAAGATGTGCGTCTCATAACAGATAAATATACCAACAAATCACGAGGATTCTGCTTCGTAGAAGTTACCTCAGTTGCGGTAAGCAGTTTAAATTGAGATGTTTTATTTTGTTTATGATCTTCGTAGCATGAATTACGTAGTTACTAGTTACACACTACTTTCGAAGATATAACCTATTCTAATATGAATCAAGCTGTACTTTTGATTCGTTCTTCTGACGGAATTTATCATAACCAGGAAGGGAAGGAGTTGATGAACAAAATTCAGAGACTTGACCCACCATTTGAGATCAGTAATCGGAAAGTAACAGTAACATACCAACGCGAACCTGGTGAGAAGAACCAGGCAGCTGATGCAGCCATCGCAGCTGCTCAATGGTCAGCAACTACTAAACACGATGTAACAGTGGAGACACTAAACGACGCTCCAAACCCCGCTACTGCTGCTCAAGGAGCTAGTAAGTTTATCAGCAAATTGTTTTTGGGTTGGGAAGCTCAGTTTAAACAAAAAGTCTAATACACTTTTATTGGAGCTATAAGCCCTCTTCCCCCACTGTGGTAAATTCATGTGCCCCTGAACAATACCGTGGTCGTGAGGTTCTTTCATCTGTTACCTTGGCTTTTGAAGCTCGAGACTTTCTGGTATCCTTACACTACGTCGTATCGACACATTGATTATTTACAGATGTGTTGCCAAAAGGCTTTTGAAAAAGTTCTTCAGCTTTTACTAGGACCGCGACCGTATAAGAGACTTCTTTATAGGTGTGGAATAACCACAAAGATCTTTACTTTCAAGAAAAATCAAATTGCACTGGGAAAAAACACCATTTTGACCATGTACCCTAAATTTTAATAACCACAAAGATCTTTACTTTCAAGAAAAATCAAATTGCACTGGGAAAAAACACCATTTTGACCATACGTACCCTAAATTTTAATAACCACAAAAATCTTTACTTTCAAGAAAAATCAAATTGCACTGGGAAAAAACACCATTTTGACCATGTACCCTAAATTTTAATAACCACAAAGATCTTTACTTTCAAGAAAAATCAAATTGCACTGGGAAAAAACACCATTTTGACCATGTACCCTAAATTTTAATAACCACAAAGATCTTTACTTTCAAGAAAAATCAAATTGCACTGGGAAAAAAACACCATTTTGACCATGTACCCTAAATTTTCCGTGAACAACGTTGGTAGCCGGATCCCTCCCTCCTCTATTAGTTCAAGACATACTGTCATCTTTAAGGCGATTGGGACTATAAAGATATAAGGATATGTTAATTTATGCTCTGTTAAATTCATGAGCTGAATTCTCGCGGCCGTTATTTGTAATCCTATATTCAGTATTCACTAATTAATGATCATATTTCAATTCCTTTATCACCCGTTGAATAATTTCATCCTCAATTGTGCAGTAATCACACATTAGTCAAATGATAGTTCAAATCCGGGCTTTAAACAGCACTCCGGCTCCTTGGCTTATGTGGCAAGTCCTCAGAGACAAAGTGACCCAGCCACACAGTAGTTCTATTGTATTTGACATCTGTAACGTGTTAATTATTAAGCGTGAATTTTCTGATTTTGGCATTTTTTCTGACTTTTGGTTTAAAATAAAACACAAATTACCACAATCAATCAATCAGTATAATATAATATCCACAATCCACATAAACATATGTATAGATTTGATCACAGTTTCAAGTCTGCTCAAAGTAGGAGCGGTGATAAAATATCACTTAGTCTCTGACAGAGATAACACGAAAATTATTTCAAATAAAAGGATTATTGATAACAGGATGATAAGAATTCGGATGATTATATTTTGTTTATATGAAGTTTTTTATTGATTACATCAACACTGACTAGGTAATTGCTCATAAAGAGAGAAAACACGTGGAATATCATATCTTGTTGATTACTTAGCGACCAACAGGTAATTTGGACTTTTGGAGTACACAATAAAATGCTCAACTGGTTGCTTTAAGACTTACCCGGTATTTACCAAGAACCTGCTAAGCTCTTACTCCACACAAAATTAGGTTTAACTTCACAATGCAATCTATATATAGTTTAGGTTGACAATGCAGCCGCTCCAGAACATAGCACTTACCAATTGCAACCTAATTGATGTTTCGTTGAAAACGTTTGTTCCTTTTGTTGAACTGAGATCAGCCGCCCAGTCGTCGCTCACGAAGTTTGGCTAGCAAACGGACAGATATAGGTTTTGATAGGACAATATGATAAAACAATGCCCAACAATGAGATAATATGGAGAACAAAGAGATAGATTGCTTAATATGGGTACTCCCTTATCAATATTCCTTTCTCTACAATTAAACACTGCCGAGTATAAGAGACGAAGTTCAGATCTTGAGTGATGAGCTGAGAAAGGAGAGGAAGGCGTTTATCTTCAACTAAGTTTTATCGGCGTGTAGCTTTTTGTCTATAAATTAACTTCAATTTATTTTATTATCATTCACTATATGAGAGGCCTTATGTTAAGAATTGATTTTTGGACCGCTGATTTGTCACGAGTTTTTACATGCCCTTTGCTTTATTATTAGTTCAAAATTGCGGTAAGAACACTAGATACGAAGAATATATTTTGAGACATCGTTGAATTAATTGATCAATCAAATGACCTGTTCCTGCTGAAAATGCGTGGATGTCACCAAATAGTTATGATCGTCAAAACAGTGGTTCAAAACATCGATGTAATACATAATATGACTATCTTTGATGGTTTATTCTACGCCTTCAATCATCATTGTTCAGACCTGTTTACAGTATTGATTATGATAAAACGTTGTCCATAAAAAAGCTTAAGAAAACTTTGAAATATACTTCTTATATAGTTACTTATTTAATCAGGAACATATTACATGACAGAGCCTGAAGATGATCGAATTCTACGGAGTTTTCTACGGAGAAACTGTCCTTCTTTTGGTTGCATTCTGTCTGGCTGGAGTTACTGCAATCTTTGGAAGCTCCATAACCTTAAGTTTCTATTGGGGTAAAAAAAAAAATCGTGCCCGTGCTCTATCGGGTAATGGCAATAACAGATATCTTGACCGGACTCAATGCGATTTACTTCGTCATCTTGTGCCTGACCTATCTTAAAGATTGTGAAACCAGCTACTACTCTGCTAGGAAGATTCCTTGTGAAAAGAGAACCGAAAAGATCTGGATAGCTTACAATAGCAAAGCCGCTGGTTGTCACCGCAACAGCACATTTCTGATTCCAACTAGTTTCGTGATAACTTCGGTGGTTACCCGACTGCCTCTTTTCATCGGAGTGGTGCTGTCGGTGGTCAGAACCATCAACATTCGCTCACCTTTCTTCCAAATCCATAAACCTGCAGTAGCCATCTCCATCATTTGTTGGGGATTACTTTGGAGTGTACTTGCCATCACATCCACACAGACAAATTTGCAATTCCTAGACTTTACCAATGATCGTCCTTCTTCTGTATGCATTAATCCGGATTCCGCACCGAATGATAATTCGGATTCCGCGTTGTTCATAAAGGATAACTTTTGGCGTCTTCTTGTGAACAACCCAGCACCCGTTATCTTTGCTCGGCTCCAAACATGGTTCTACATCTTTGTGCTGATGGTTAGCTTCCTAATTCCCATTGTAATCATGGTCATCAGTACAGTTGCTCAGCTGTTTTTCCTCTATCGTGACAAGATAGGCGGAAACACTGCCCAGATGACCCAGATGACTGTCACAATAATCCAGATCACAGCTCTTGCAGTAGTTTGTGCACTGCCTTCCTTCTTCTACATTGCTGATGGTTGGTGGTGGAACGTGCCTTGTGAAAGTTCTGACGACAAATCAGACGTCACCCAAGCGTTTTTTTACGGGTTTGGGTTGCCTGTGTTGAACTCGGCACTAAACCCAGTGTTGTTGATAAACAGGAGCTCGGCCCTGCGGGATCATCTGGAGAAACTGTCTAGAGGGGAATTCAAAGAAGTCAGCAACAAAAGACCTGCACCATCTGCATCTAGAACCCAGTCTCATGCTCCGCGAAATGTTAAGACGAATTTTGCTGTCACTTCCCGTGCTGATATGATGAAAAAGTAGAAACTGATTGATAGACATAACTGGATTTTTTGAGAGTTTCGAAGACTTTGCTTTAAGGGGGGGTTAACCAGTAGCCTCCTCTAAAGGTAAGTTTTTAGGGGCGGAGGCCGACAGTCATGTATGTAGGACCAAGTGGGAAACAATTTCGAGACCACTCTAAATAGGCAACATTGGTAGATTAAGGGGGGGGGGAGGGGGTTCACCCTGATTTTTTTGTGAAACTTGGTTTCGAGATAGCAGTTGACCAACAAACTAGGACCAGTGACCGAACTTTTGAGGGGGTCCCGGATCCCAACCGCCAAACGGTGCCCACGGGGCAGCCACGCCCATATTTGGTCCAAATTAGGCCCAATTTAGCCAAATACCCTGAACATGCCCAAAATCCAGATTTTAGGTGCTCTACTTGTAGCTAGTGGTCCTAACTCGTATATGAATTTTCATAAAGATTGGACAAAAAATGATTGAATTATGAGCCAAAAACCATATGACCATATTTGGGCATACGCACCAAATTTGATCAATTTTGGCCCATAAATTGGTCAATTATCAATATTTTTGAATGAAACCAACTTTATATGGAAGGTAAGCCTATACTACACATTATCTATGATTATCAGCTCAGTATCTACCTAACTGTGGATTCTGTGTTCAAATAATCGCAAAAAATGAACAAAATCGCCCATATCTCAGTTCGCGATATTTGCAAAACTGATTTCGCTCAAAACAATAGAACTCAATAGGGTTTCAATATTTTTACATGAAATTTTCAGAATCGACGTAGAATCGCATTTCGACCTTAAGTTTTGGGACAGAATTTTGAGTTAGGCCTTTTTAAAAATTTGGCGGCCAAATTCTGAATTTTGCAAATTTTGGAATTTGGCCGCCAACCGGTCCTAGTTTGTTGGTCTGCTATCTCGAAACCAAGTTTCACAAAAAAAACAGGGTGAACCCCCCCCCCCCCTTAATCTACCAATGTTGCCTATTTAGAGTGGTCTCGAAATTGTTTCCTACATACATGACTGTCGGCCTCCGCCCCTAACAATTTACCTTTAGAGGAGGCTACTGGTTAACAAACAGCGATGTTAGAGCTTGGTAGGGACAAATCATGACCTTCTCGGACACAATATTAGGAATACTCTTGCCAGTTGAAGGATTCCGACGGGTACCATTGGTTTTGGCTGGTTGCATCTTTTTTTGAATAAAAAAATTAAATAAAAAATTAGAAAAAATTGGAAAAAAGACAAAAAAAAAAGAAAAAATGACTTGACAGTTGACAGGACCATCACATCTTCTGACCACCCAACAGCGAGGAAGGGTCTCGCTTAATCTTTTTGCCAGACGAGCAAAGAGGCCGTATTTAGAG